AAAAACCACTAATTGGATTTCAATGAAACTTTTAAAGAGTACCCATCACATTTCAATGAACCTAAGACTGTGCACCATATTAGTTTTTGGTAAATATTTATGCTTCTTAATCACCTAATTAACATAATTAATTAATACTGATATCTCGAGTATTGATCATCACATTTGAATAAAACTTGGTACATAAATGCTCTAGGACAATAAACAGTCTGATTAATTTTGGGTTAAAATCTGTTCATATTAATTCTCTAATTAGCATAATTAATATTTTTTTGGTTCTAATCACATTTCAATGAAACTTGGTACATTGTGCAGGGGTTATTAGTTTTACACTTACCGGGGTAAATCTGTTCATATTAGTTACCTTATTTGCATAATTAGTTTTCAGCTTTTCCGTCAATATCTCAAGTATAAGTAATTTTGAATTACTAGTAATTTTTAATGTGTCTTCAAAACTCTCAGCACACGGGAGTTCTTTCTAAGCTTTCTTTGATTCAAAAATTAGATAAATATTATGTATTAGATAAATATGGTATTAGGCCAAAACAAAAATAGATTTATTTTTGGTTTCACGTACTTTAGTTTTAAAATGGGCTGCTTTTTTTTTCTTCCTTTTTTGAGTACCTGTAATTGAAAAAAACAAAAGAAATAATGAAAGCTGTCACTTGGTGGGACACAACTCTTGCCATGCATGGCCAGGTTTTCAATTTAAATGCTAATTACTTGGCAAATAATGAATTGTTCAAAGATTATCAAGCCATACAACTTGGTTAATTTATTGTCCAGTTCAACACAAAGAGTTTGATGGCATCAAAACTAACAATTAAAAAAATCTGGAACAAGAAACATATTTATTTTTTTGGTTTGGTCATAAGATTGTTAACATATTAATGACCACACTGATAAGGTACATCAAAATAACCACATTCTTCACCAAAAATAGCTTTTATATATTTTGTCGCATTTTTTTTAATCATTGTCATAACCTTTATAAAGAATTTTCTGCTTTTTCGTCATTTTTTCTCTTCTTACTGACAGAGGTCTTGAAAGCGTTTGCTGAAATATAATTCAAAATTTGCTTTTCTTTTAAAAAAAAACACTTCACTTTTATTTATTTTTTCTCAGTTCACCACTATGGATAGTTGTGACGACATTTCTGACCCCCAAAAAGATGACCCAAAACAAGTTAATTCTCATCTGTCAAATGTAAAAATGTCATCCTCTGAATCTTCAGCATCTGATGTTACCATAGCAACACAATTTGAACGAAAATTTCCCTATACATCTGAAGAAAATAAGAAAGCGGAACTTACAAAAACTGCCACGCCAGCTCTGCCTGTAGTTTCGTCCATTTCTCATGCCAAGATGCCTGTATCTTGTTCAGTCTCCTTGTTGTCTCCAACATCAACTTGTGTTGTATCTTCAGAGCCAGCAGTATCTGGATCACCTGTTATCCCTGCAAAAACAATGACTGCTTCAACTGTACCTTTAGAAGTTGAATCACCATCTACTTCAAGAAAAAAATTCTCATCAGGCTCAGTATTATCTCCAGCATCTAGTGAGTCCCCGTCCTCTTTGCGACCGGTTAAAATCTCTCTTACTGAACCTAGTCCCGCTGAGGAAGTTGGAACGATCTTAGAATCACTGCAACAGACTATAGAAGAAACTACAGGTGCCAGTCATATAGAAATTAGAAAACGTCCACGAAGGAGAGTTCGAACTGAGCGATACCTTTATCGATCACGGTCAGGAAGTGAAGACGAATTCGTAAGAGTGCTGGCAGAAGTTCTTCCTGAAGATCCTGACGAAGGCAAGAGAAGAGGAATATTGAAAAGAACATCTTCTGTTGATTGTACGCCAGAATTCAATGTACCGCGAGGAAGGAGATTGCGAAAGACGCGTAGTATGGATGAAGATCGTGTGATGGAACAGAAGATAAGTATCGAAAGTGAGATATGTAAAGAGAAATTGTTATCCGAGAAAGATTGTGAGATGAAGATGAACATGACATTTGAGAATAGCAGAGATGCAAGAAAGGCTTTTCGAAATGAGAAAAAAGGAGACCAGGAGAAAGAAAATGTTGTTCCCCTGGATATTAGATGCAAGATGAATGAACATGAAAGAAGGTCCCAGTGTGAAATAGGCATCATGACAGACGCCATTGTACCAGAGGACCACATTGTAAAAACTGCTAGAGGTTTACAGAGAAGTGGAATTGTGGTGAGTGAGAGTGTGAACATGCAATCTTCTCAGGAACCAAGACTGGATCCAGAGAAAGAAATAGGTGTCATTACTGATGTTGCATCTGATAACAGAAGTAATTCAAACAGTGAAAAAGCTGATACAAATAAGGTTATATGTAATGCTGTCATTGGAGGAGTCAAAACTGAGGTTGAAGTGGATGCCGAATACTCTACTGAGAATCAACATCTAAAAAAGACCCATTTGAATAAACTTGACATCTCTCCAATTCTACGAACGTCTACTTCATTAGATAGTAATCAAAGCATGTCGGATTCGTCGCTGATAAGCGGCAAACAGATGAATATTGGGACTGAATCCATCATGAGACATCAACACGTGGTGTCTCCTACAGGTGAGCGGCATTATGTCGCGTCAGAGCCATCGCTAACCGCATCAGAAGACGGTGATCTCATTGATAGGGTTACCAGATCCAGTCAGTACCCAGGATCGGAAAAGTCCTATCGTAGTGTTGATGGCCGAGAACGTAATTGCCCACCACGTTTGAAGCATCAACAAAGCTGGGCAGAGGAAGCTAACTTGGACACAGAGCCATTTTTGAATGATTCCCCACATGAAGCCTTCATGGACGAATTATACGGCCGTTCAAGTAGACTTTCAAAGTTCCTATCTCATGGAAGCAGCTATGAGGATGATGATGTCACTCCCTTAAGAGAGGATGAGTTCATTAGAGTTATGAGGGGTGGTCGAGAGGTTTGGATGTCAAGACTTGAATATGATAGAATGAGGGATGAGCTAATCTTGAAAGCTTTGCTCCAACAACCAAATCATGTAAGTGTCTCCTACCATTTTCTGAAATAAATTTATTGTCTACATTTCAAGTTAAATCAGTGCACAATCCATGTTAAAATTTTATGTAATAGACCGTATTTACGAATGGTCGTCAAGATCTTCATGCGACTGACAGCCAAGCAACTTGTTACCCCCCCCCCCCCCTCCATATAGTGTTCGATTCTCAACCACCATCATGTTCACTTACAAATACCATGGTTTCCATGGCCACGGAAGCTGTAGACTAGGAGTGTAGACACTACTCTGGTGCAAAAATAAGTCTTGTGGCTCTCTCTCTCAATAAGATCTCAACGACCATTTTGCCTTCAATGGCCATTTTGTTTTCAACAGCCATTTTGTCTTCAATGGCCATTTTGTTTTCAACAGTCATTTATTTTATGCCTGTTGTAAACTGTCAATATAGTTATTGTATTTTAATGTTACAGGCTAATCGTCGAGTTGGTCTTCAGTTGCCGCCTATGTTATTTCGAGATGAGCCAACACAGTGGGAGACACTGACAGAATTAGAGGTACTGTAATGCAAACATAATTTAAGAGATTTTCTGATAAGTTTTATAGTATAGTTTGTGGATTACAGCAGGTGCGGAAAAAAGATACACCTATTCATTCACAAGTACTTTATTTGCTCCATTCAAATCATATGTGCTTCAGCGAAAACAATTCCAAGCGAAAATTTAATAATTCACAATTTTATTTTTTACTGCTAGAAAATAACTTTTTACCAAAATGGTAATTGTGTGTAATTTGACAAACTAGTAAAGATATTTCAACCTGGGCAAAGTTGGATTTTTAAAAAAACAAACTAAACATTTTTTCTTCAAGTGCCTTTCAACTAAAAAAGGTACCCCATATTGTTTATTCTTCCTATTTACCCATAATTTAAATTTATTTGAAAATTGATAAATCATGATTTCAACTATCTGTAAAGCAAAGTTGGATTTATCAAAAAATACATTTTCAGTTTACAACAATTAAAAATATTTTTTTTCAAGTGCTTTTCAACTAAAAAAAAAACCCATATTGTTTAGCCTCCATGTTTACCCGTGATTTGAAATTATTTTTTGATAAATATCATGATTTCAACTATCTGCATTTTTTAAAGTCAGTGATCAACATTTGGATTAGGATATTTAACTCATTAAATCTATACACCTATACTACTGTACATGCATGGCATCGACCACCTCAGAACTGTCAATATAGTTAGTACTGTCTTTAGAAACTTAAATCAATTTGTATACATGTATAGTATTGTGAAAGGACAACAGTGGGTACGTAGGCAGCCATTGTGGCAGGATTAAGATGCAGAAGCGTCGTACAAAAGGGGATTGAACAGTATGTTTTGAGAGTCAATACTTCTGCCCTGTGGTAAGCTTTTGTCCACTTTAAGAAAGACTGTCTAATTGTTATGCACATTGTTGTGGCAGGTGAGGTCATACAATGTCATGGAAATTAGTTTTATTTGTTTTCTTGTGGACGTGGTTGGTTTCATCATTCATGTGATAATTGGTTAAAAGTGAATGAATATTGTTGTTTTTCGATTTCTCCAGAGCGCAATGAAGGAGATACGATATTTACAGCAAGGTGTGCAGAAATATAAAGCAGATCTTATATCGTTGGAGATCATATCAGGTCAACAGTTTGAGTCGGTGTATGATCAGTTGGACCCGGAAGAAAGGTAAGGATTTTAGTTTCAGTGGACATTTGTGAAATGAGTTGAAATATATGGGAAGCCAGGTTCACTTGGTAATTTTTTTCTCAAAGAATATGTGTCTTTATTCAAACTAAGTGGATCAGAATTAAAATCAAATTAGTTTCTTTGATAGATCAGTATTCCTTTCATTGACATAGTCCTCCGCCTACCTTGATAGTCATTGAGTCAGTCTTACTGCATTAACAAATTAGACCTTTGTCTAGCTTAGTATAGGATTAGACAAAACATGAATGTAGGGACATTATAGTCTATTTTAATACAGTTTCACAAATACATGGGTATGGGTGGGTTCAAAGTGGACGCGCAGACATTTTCAAAAGAGAACATGTTCTATTGCCCATGTAGTAACATAGGGCATGTAATTCCTGAAACTAGCATATCTTAGTATCACCCATATTTCATTTTTTTTAAACTTAGTTCAATACACATTGTTTCATTATGTTTAGTTATGCAATGAAATTTTCTGTAATTGGTCCATGACACCAAATATTTTTTTTTATCTTGTATTTGCCAAATATATTACAAATTTCAAAGATGAAACTCTATTTGGCAATACAGAACAAGGTAACAGCAGTTTTATGATTTTATCAGCTAACCAAAACCTTCACAATATACAGACCCCAACCCTCCCCTAATTTCCCTCCCAACATCAGCATGTATTGTAATTGTGTCTGCAATTAAAAAAAGGCATTTCTATGACAAGACTATTATATACTTTTATACTACACCAATCCCAAGAAAGTTACTGTCACAATCTACCAATTGAACTCCAGTGAATTTTCACCATGACAGCATTTAGGTTCATATTGATAAATTATGTTACAGATACCGTATATATGTGGTATTAGGCCTAGGGGTTCTTAACATGTAAAATCAAGGAAAGTAAGGGGTGGGCTTATACCCAAGGACCACCTCAGAAAAGATGAATATTTTTTTGTTTGTCCAAATGAGATTTTTTGTTCACCACACCAGATTAGGGGGAATATTATGTCTTATTTGGGAAATAAAATTGTGAAACGAGTTGCAGAATAACAGAACAAAAATTTATGCAAGTTTTTTCTTGTGAAGGCACAAACCAGACGATCTGTTTAGGGCCACCACATACTCAAAAACCATTATCAATTTTCATGCAAAGATATACACACACATTTTAATAAACAACATCTTTTCTACAGTACTAAAAAAACAATTTATACTGTTGTAGTTGTTTCATAATCAGATAATTAATCATCCCTGACACTTTTCAGTGCCAGGAAATTTCATGTTTTTTTTAGACATTGAGACATTGTATTCATAATTTTAGTAGTCTTTTCTCAAACAGTAGAACAACCATTACTTTTTTGTTGAATCATTCAAACAACCATTCTTTTTTTGTTCAGAGATGATTGGGAGTCTCTGAAAGAATTGAGATTGAAGATTATTGAAGAGGTCTATGAGATGGAAAAATTGTTATCAGAAAGAACTAAGACAATTTCAAAAATACGTGATAAGGTATGTTTCTAGTTTTATGTGACCTTAATTGAACATTGTCTCATGACCTATTTTGATTTTTTTTGTCCAGTGACTGAAATGCCAGGTGACCTCAGTTGACCTTTGTTCTAGTGACCTCAGTCGACCTTGTTCTAGTGACCTCAGTTGACCTTTGTTCCAGTGACCTCAGTTGACCTTTGTTCCAGTGACCTCAGTTGACCTTTGTTCCAGTGTCCTCGGTTGACCTTTGTTCCAGTGACCTCAGTTGACCTTTGTGTTAGGTGACCAAGGATGGTATTTCTGTGTTCTTTCCTCGATGACCATAATATGAATAATTACATTTTTTTGAAATTGAATTATGTTTCTCTTCATTTTATTTTGACAGTCATGATTTTCCATCGGATTTGTTCATCATTGTATTTTAACATGCCTATGCATGTATATCAGTTATTGAAAGGAGTCTTTCTCAGATGTAACAGTTTCTCTGGCACAATTAAAAAACTTAGTTTAAACAAAAATTATTTACATATTTGTCAAAATATTGATAATGTATATTTATAATGCTATCTTTTATCGTCATGTCATCCACCAAGATGCCCCAATCTTTTAAAACGCTGAAAAATAATTAATTTTGTTAATTAAGTAATCAGTTATTTCTTTAAAAATAATAATGGTTTTCATTTTCCTTGTCATAAATGTAAATGGAATAAATGTTTTGCATGTTTCAAATTTTTGCACTATTTTTTTTTATTGTTGAATTATTTTTTTCACTTTATTTAGGCACATAGAGTACTATTATGGGATGGATACTATATTCAAGCAAGTCACTTGTGAAATATTTTTGAATAAACTAGGATTTAATATTTATGTGAAATATTTTTTTTTTCATTTCTGTCTTTGAATTGAATAAAAGCATGTGAATTGTATCTTGAGTAAAAAATAATATCATAGATATTTTATTTATATATTTAAATATAAGTTCATGCAAGTGAGTGAGTCATTTTATGAAATGATTTTGAATGAATTTGTTTTTTATTTGGAATACTTTTTTTCAGAATCTAAGAATTGAATAAAAGCATGTAATTGTATCTTGAAATAAAAATAATTTAGATACTTTATTTATATTTTAAAAATATTAAATTAAAAAAAATAACATTTTCAAGATGCAATATTGATCTTTGCTGTGAACTAATAGTGTCTTCCATGCACGTTATTATTCTTTATTTACTTTTTATGAAATTCTGAAAACTTTTTTCTTGTTTGCTTTGAATCTTCTGTTTATTCTGTTCAGCTTTCAACTAAAAAGATGAAAGTTTAAATTTTTTATGCATACTGTTTTATTTTCTTAGGGACATCGACTACATGAAGAAACAGTTCCAGAACATCTTTGTCAGAGTTTAGATATGATTAAACAGGTATATAGCAGTCTTTGTATATGTCCAGTGGTTTTGAAGAAGATTTTTTGTTTTGTTAAATCCTTGTCATGAGACATTGTTAAGTTTATGAAGACAAAATTTCACTGTGACTCGATCCCTGTTTCCCTGGTCACAATTTTGTAATGTTATCGAAATCAACAAAATTCAACATTATCAGTGATATTAATACTGTGATAATATAAGGTTATTACGAAGATACGTCAAAGTATAAACGAAGAGAGTACAGCGACAGTATTGACCGACGCGCAGTGGAGGATAATGCGACAGCGTACTGTCTTAGTGCATACTTTGAGGTAATTTTGTAATAACCTTATTATTATACATCTTTTCCTACCAAGGATACATCATGGGAATGGCGAAATCTGTTTAGAACAGAATCAGCGAACTTCTTTGTATGAAGTCCGGTCAAACCCTGGTGGCAGCCATGTTTGTTTTTATTATTAGAGAACACTTATACGCGTAATCATTCCATATTTGGAATTTGTATTTCCTAATATGGTAGGATAAAAATACCCTGTAAAATACCGCAAAATTACGGAACGCTGTACTTTATGGCGTTACGGTGACAGATGTATAATAATGACAAATATGCTACTATACAAGGCATAATGATCGCAATACAATTATAAAAAACAGCAATATTAAATGTTTTCTCATACTAATAAAAAAAACATAATACGGTTATAATTTCCAAAAATTTGTCTGTTTACAATATGCGTGCTTGATTCATTTAAGATTTCAAATTAATTTGAAAATATTCTGTTTGTCCATTTGTTTTAAAATTGATGAAAGCTTTTTAAAAAAAAATAACTAAAATGTGAAAGATTTTAGCATTGAAATAAACACAGTTTTTACGCAACATTAAGATTGTGATGTATTTAAAGAGGGGAGTCGTCACCGGCGCATGCATCAGATGGCCATAGCGTGGCATTGTTTACAAACAAGCGTCTACCCATGAGCCTTTGTGTTTTTAGCGTGTGTTGTTATCGTCAGTGACGACCTTTTTCGCTTTAAAAATACATTTTATATTCATGCAAAATGTTAATGCACCTGATTGCCATGTTACTGTTTTTATTTAATAGATGATTGACCTCTTAAAAGAACAGATTCATCATCGCAGCCTGTTGTATAACGTTCAAGTACAATCGTCAATGTCAGCGAGGCAATCTGGTTTTTCAACACCCATGTCCGACATCAGTATGGAATCATCGTTGCCATGGGCGATAGAGAAAGATGATCTACTGCAGGAACTTGTCGGTGTCAAGAGGCAGTTAGAAAGGGAACGGAGAATGGCAAAGCGGGAAATTGAAAGATCTATGCAGGAGGTTAGTATTCATTCATAAATAAGGGTATACATCTTTACTGCATATCTTTCTAGTGAGATTATGAAGAACTCTCCTGATGTTGATTATGAATGTGTTTTGCTTTATAATCACCGAATTCTGCCGTAAATTTGCCCAGGGCCGTTAAACGACAGTTTGGGTTTTTAAAAAAAAATAAAATGGGTCCAAGAAACCGCCCAGGGCGATTTTTCAGCAGTTTTTTAGGTGTTATTTTAATCTTATCTGATGCCTAAAAGTTTTGCCGTAGTCATTGACGCCTATTTAAGAGTATTGATGTTTATTGCGACTTGCATGAATGGGTTAGCTTTGTTTCGACAATGAGCTGTTATCGCTGTAAATAATGTTAAATTATTCTTTAAATGCTAATAACTAATTTTTTAATTTAAAAACAAATCATGCCGCTTTCTAATCAAAATCCAAGCCAAAAGATCGTACAACATCAGCAAATCTCTTCCGTACTGCGTTCAATAACATTAACATTTTCAAATGAGCTATGGTATTTTGAACACGTTGGCATCATCCATCGTTTTCATTGGTTAATTATCGATTTGACCTGTCAGGTCAAAGAACAACATCTCAGGTCAAACATGGTGGATATTCATTTCTACAGCATCGAACGTTGAAAATGCGATCGGAATCATTCGCTTACGATGAAATAAGTTGGAATTTATTTGCATTTTATAAAAATTCAAAAATTTTTTTTTTGCATGTTATTATAATCATTACTAGGTAGTAATCAACAATTGTAAAACGCAGCATGACCGGATTGCACTACCACGACCATTTGCTACTGAGCAGTGCAGTTGCGTTCGTTGTTATTTAAAACTTCTTTTATTTAGAATATACTAGTTACTAATAAAATGAAAAAAAAAAAATTGTATTTGGTGCACGAGGTTCGTTAATGTGATTTTTTTTGAGAAAGATGCGCGGTCTACTTTTTAATCCAGCTAGAAAAAAATGTATAAAATTTTAGATGAGCTTCTGCAATAGTTTCTTTCGTTTTTGGTGGTCCAACTGCCGGTGTTGAAAATCGGCGTAGGTGGATTTTTCAATGAAAATAAAAGCCCCCCCCCTAAAAATATTTGATGATAATTTTTTTAAATTTGAACCCCAAATAAGGGCCCACCAGCCGTGAAACTGCCCAGGGCGATTTTTTGGATGGGCGAATTTACGGCAGAATCCGGTATGTGTGGTAGCCTCTTTCTTGTGCAAACTTCCACTGAAATGATGAAAATGGGATGCATTGAATTTCCATACTTTTACAAAAGTACAATATCTGTTGTGTTTTATTTTAAGATGAAAAACAGCCTGATAGAAGAAATAAAACACAGTATAGCTCACGAAACACAAAACTTAAAAGATGAGTTACAGGTAACCATGGAATTTTTTTCTTATTATTAATCTGTGGATTCGCAGTGACATGATTATTTTTTGAAAAAATTAAACATTTATTTAACTTTGCTTTTATATCTTAGTTTCGTATTTTTCTCGCAAACCTACTTCTGCTGAAATTATCAATCCCTCTCCAGGATATTCAAACATATGATAACCCTCTCCCTGGGAATGTACATGCAAGAGATAATACCACATGGAAATTGTTATTAAAATTATATCATCCCTGTCACTTCCCACAGATTTTGGAACATTTGCATACTACTGTCCGATTATCACTGAATTTGTATTTAATAGTGAATGTAGTCTGACGCCATGACCAATATTTATCAATTAAGTTTCAGTGGGGGGTGGGGGTGGGGGGTTGAAAAAAACTAAAGGAATTAAGTTTTGTATCCGACATCGATCTTTTGACGTTGTTCCTTAATGAATAGTGAAATAGCCAATTCTAAGCTATGGACAATGGTTAACAATTGTGATCAATTCATTTATTGATTCATTTTGGCGAATTATTGATTAATCATCTTCCAAGTATTTTGAATGACTACATTTAGCCCTGTAACTAGTATAAAGTTCAATGTGGATACAACGAGCAGCTGTGTGGTTAATATATATTATTTGCTGGGGGTGTAATTCATTTTAATAATTGTTTCTCTACTCCAATTAGGCAAAAGAAGATGAACTCAATCACTTAAGACTGGAGTTTCGTCAAAATAAACATAAACACTTTGAATCATCCGGTCGTCCAAAAGAGATTTTATTAGAAGACCATCGAGGAGATATCACATGACAGCAAGAAAGGTTTTCCCCTTAGACATCTAGTGTGCAGAGATAACAACAATATTCTACAACTGTATATTGCCATTGAATATTATTGTATAAGGGACCATATCCCAATCAATATGTGTCAGCTCTCTCTCTTTCTCTCTTCTTGATCAATGACTTGTTTTGTAAATAATTTGTTTATATCTGTTGTTGAATCATATCTGCCGACCACATACTTTAGAACACAGAAAGATTGTCAGTTTGTTACGAGGACAGGATCCCGTATTATGGCTATGTCAGCACCACCTTCTCATCTTTAAATAATAGAAGAATATGTTATGCATATTCATATGACATATATAATGTATCTTTCCTGACATTATTGAAAGATTAACACAGCTGTCAAGCAATGCTGGATAAATGCTTTGAATCGTGGGAGATTGGTATAAAAACAAGTTCTTCTAAGAATGTGAATATAGAGGGCGCTTTACAACCTATCCATTTTCTGGATGTCATGGGGATAGATACGGTGACAAGCAGCTGGAGTGAAGGATAAAATATTTTAATCACAGTTAAAAATTCACAAAAAATTACAAATTTGTGATGTTTGCTGAATTGCATTATTTACGTCTACATTATAATATGGTTTTTAAAAAATTATGAATGGCTAGATATTTTTGTTGATCAACATATCTCCATATTATGCTTGTCTCCATGGTGAATCATTTTGTTGAATTTTGGATAGAAATGATCAAAACATGCAATACTGAGCTGTAAACTTGTTTTGGTTCAATGCGACAATGTTGACTTAAAGTATGAGGGCATTTGACGGCTATTAAAATGTCAATTCAAAAATTAATAAATAAAATAATGAATAGGCATTGACAATTTCTGTAAGGGAAAGACAGTTTGTGTACAACAAATAATGTTGTTTACACGTATCATGGGAGCCATATTGAATACAAATCTGAAAAGTTTCTATAAATAAAAATTAAACTGTTTTCACTTTTTTTTTTACATATTCTTCAAATTGCTTGAATTAGCCCCAATTTTTTGCTATTTCAAATATTTTTCATACTATTTTTTTACAATTTAAATTTTTCTAACATGTCTAAAAATCCATAATTGCGTTCATACTTAATAAAACATTTACATAAATCAGGAGTTTACAATGTGTATATGAGTACTTAAAGTTTGTCTTTAATATGTTCTGAAAGACAAATGGCTGTTAAGAATGTTCAGAATTCATTTCATGGAAATGTGCGTTTGATGTAATTTTGATTTTCGGGAATTATCAGTTTTGTGAAATATTATATAAAGGCTTTACTTACAAGTAAGTGTGTATTTCATAATAATTGTAATGTTTATTTTTATTATATTAATTGTAACTTAGTTATAATTTTTTGCTTTAATTGCCTAATATTGTGATGTTTCTTGCTGGTCGAGAAGCAGATGCTGAAAAAAATTGTCATACTTGTATTTGATACTTGTCTGATGACAGTATGGGCAAGGTGTTGTATAGTTTAACTATGTTTTTTGGTATGGTCTGATAACAATATAGGATACATTTCCAAGGTTATATTGATTAATGCGGGGTTTATGTGAAAAGCCAAGAATTCTGAAACATTCCAAAGTTTTTCAAATTATGAGATGTATAGTAGATGTACATTTTGTAGCTTTTGCTTCTGACAAAAGTTTATAAAACTTTTTCATGAATTATATTGAATTTGGTAATATTGTGTAATGAATATTCATATGATGAATATTCATATGCTACTTAATGTCATGAATATTCATATTGTGCTAACTAATGCTACAAATGTTATGCTAATTATATCATGAATATTCATATTATGCTAACAAATGCTACAAATGTTGCATTATGCTAATTATATCATGAATATTCATATTATGCTAACAAATGCTACAAATGTTGCATTATGTTAATTATATCATGAATATTCATATTATGCTAACAAATGCTACAAATGTTGCATTATGTTAATTATATCATGAATATTCATATTATGCTAACAAATGCTACAAATGTTGCATTATGCTAATTATATCGTGAATATTCATATTATGCTAACAAATGCTACAAATGTTGCATTATGCTAATTATGTCATGAATATTCATA